TTTTTTTTTTTTTTTTTTTTTTTTAATTGATTACAAGTTGTATTTCAAAAATGGAATAAAAATTTACATAATTTTTCTTCTGGTTACGCAATAGAAAGTAATAATTGATAATTCCTATAAACTCGATCAAAGCATCATGAAAATATCAAATGGGTCTGACTCAATTGATTGAGAAGTGTAAAAAACAAATATATGGATAAGAGGTTTATCACTTGGTGACTTCGTTTATGTACATTTATATGTATTCAATGAGTAACACCGTGAGTTTTAGGGTGTTGTTATTAATTTTATTTAATTATATGTTGTTATATAGATGGTTATTCTGTGTTGAGAAACTCTAAAATTTAAGGATTTTTTTTGTAGTTTAGGTAGTGTTGGGGTTTTTGGTACAGGTTTAGTTTGACATTGGGAGAGAGATATTTAAGATTTTGGTTTAGAAAATTAGATATTGGTTCTATTTATTTTTCACTATCTAAGAATGTCAAAAATAACATTCATATGCAAAAGTTTTTCTTTCAAGTAAAACTTTATTTGTGTTTCAATTGTATCATTCACAAATGAATTTTAATCACTAGAAAAATTGTTAATATTTAAATTTTTCAAGTTTGACTCATTGACATTTGCTTGTGAAGTTAGACTTCCCATTATTTCCTTAACTTTAATTTGATACTCTTCAAATAATGACAATGAGTAACATAATTTCTTGATATTATTAATTTTAATTGAAGATGAGCTAGCATAAAACTTAGGAGAAAAGTACTCCGACAACTTCAACTTGTATCTTAAATCTAAAATAATAGCAACATTTATTTCATGAGTAAATCTATTTAGATTTATTTCGTTCAATAACTTATGTTTTACATTAAATTTCAACGATCCAACCGTTGAATTTAAAGTTCTTAATGCATAGATCAAGTCTGCAAATTCTTAGAAAATTTGAAAATCATTTGATACTTCATTTCATTAATTTAAATTGATAGATAATCATAAAATCATTTCATGCATTGATTTGAATTAATGAAACGAAGTATCAAATGATTTTCAAATTTACAGATTTGATCTATGTATTAAGAACTTTAAATCCAACGGTTGGATCGTCTAATTTTGATGTAAAACATGAGTTATTGAACGAAGTAAGTACATATAAACTTACTCCTGGAGTAAATGAATTCCTCCTCTCTCTCTCTATATATATCCATTTACTCTAGGAGTAAATCTACCATTTAATAATTCATATTTGCAAGTGTTCATAAGATTCATGTCCATTTTGCCATCCCTAGTATTGAGATGTGACATGTGTTATACAAATGATTATTTCTCATGTTGCCACAGTTGTGTTGATTATTTTGATAATTGTTATATATTGTGCCAGTCATTGGAGATGGAAGAGGAAGAGACCACGGTTAATGAAAGATTTAGAGGTAGCCCCAAAAAATAATGCAGAAAACCTGGTAAGAATAAAAAGAAAGAAATATCAGAATTATTTCTTGCATATGAAGCTTTCTTTTCCAAACTTTCTTCCTAATATAGTAAATGTTTACTCTTATAAATTGAAGCTTTCATTAACCAAGTTGTGGAGTCCAGATTCTTTGTTGAAGTTCATTGACTGGCCTCGTGCAGATTTGGTTGTGGATGCCTTGGACTGTGGCCATATCCAAGTTGTGAGATTCCACATGGAACCAAGATGATTATATATTCTGCTAACTGCAAGTGGATCATCGAACCAATTTTCCATAAGAACAAATTCTGGTAACTGCACTGTGTATGTGTGTTTATTGCTGTTATATGTTGCACAAACTACGAATAACACCGCAATGCTCATCCCATTGCAAAGTGAAGTTCCTGTAAAGTGTAAACAATTGACATTATAAATGGAATGTGAATAAGAGGATTGTTTGGTTTCTTAACATTAGTATGTATATTTTCTCACTCAGCATCTTGTACAGAAACTCAAGCATCCACCCATGAATAATGAAAGATATGATGAATATTACTAACCACTACCACAAAAAATAAATTATGTCCGCTAAGAGAGTCTAGAGTCGATTCATTTTCAAAAACACACAACAAACATAACAATATACGAATTTTACATGACCAACTTCCACACAGGCTTATGGCAGATTCTAAATATTTCATTTTGCAACAATCCAATATACACCATGCGTCCAAAATTAATTTATTTACAAACTCTTGTGCATAAAATGAGCGAGCAGTCGTATTTACAACTTCTCCATAACGCAAAACTTCATGAAAAATGTGAGCAACCTGGACCTCACATGATACATGGTTTTGATGATGCTCTTGGCCAAAGAAACTGACCCCTATTCATGTTACAAGTTTGTGTGCTCTTGTGACTTAGTTGCAAGACTAAGCCGGTTCACGTGGCCTATTAGACCAGAGTGAGCTCAAAGCCCTCAGGCGTTGGAAGTATTCTCCCAGAGCAAGCAAGCATCGTGCCGCCTGACGGATCGTAAGTATTCGAGACATTTGCTGCAACGTTCCCTGCCGAAGATGGTCAGCCTGTTTCACACAGATCATGGTTAAATCTCCACTAGCTATTAGCCAAGCTAAAACATTTTCAAGTGGTAAATTGGTAGTGTGTGTAGCAGCTAATGATATTCAAAGATGTTTATGTTAATGTACAATAGAAATCATCACTCTACTTTATGATCCTACGTTTATGGTACTAAATAGGCAATCTCAGTGAATCAGTTCGTTCAACAGGGTGAATGAGTTACTGTAAACTTCTGATATCGAGTTCTATTCCAATGGATAAAAAAATGATAAATGGGAAGTTGGTAATGTTTAATGAAATTTGCCTAGCAAGCACGAACAGTGATCAAGATGTATGGAGTATGGTTAACGGTTTTCACATGAACAAAATGCCACAGCTATTTTAGTGGATGAACTTGAATGCTTACAGCAATGACTTACCTCCAAATCGTTTGAGGATGCTGAAAATAGATCATATATCATTTAATTCTTAGAAATTCTGATATAAATGAAAAGGCTAATAATTGATTAAATTGTTGTTTTCCATTTTCACTGAGGATTTCTTTAGAATGAAAAGCTTTTCAATTTTCAGTACCCTTGCCAAGAATTTTGAAATGAAAATTATTTTCAATACTTTTCTTTTAGTTTGGTATCAAATTATGAGTTTTACTCATTCAAAAAGTAAATTTAAAGTCAAGTTTCCCTATTGTCTATACAACAATATATAGAATGATGTTTAACAACTACTTTAGAAAATGGCAAGTACACTTACTTACTCTTTCAAAATATTCTCACAAGGCATCCCTTGATTAACATGACATGTTGTGAAAAGAAACATTTTACTAAATTTAGAACTAATGTCTATCAAGAGAACATGATATATTACCTGGTTTACAAAGCTCACCAGAGCTTCCAAATTCTCCATTGCAGAAGTCATCTGTGGAATATAAGTTCCTTCCATGAACTGTCCTGCTGCAACACTATCAGCAAGTAACTGCCGCAGTTTGTCCATACCTTGTGAAAGGGCATCTTCTGCTTGCTGACATGATTGTCCAAGGGTATAGATATCCAACCGTTGTTGTTCTGTCAGCGGTTCAATCAAGGGACCAAGAACCTGCAATTAAAATAAAGTGTCAGCAAGCGCCATACATTACAAGCTTGCATCATACCGTAGTTGAATATGGCAATAGAACTAATGTCAAATTCATCAAGTATCTCAATAAGTCCTTTCCTGTAAAGTTGAAATTCGAGTGTGGACGTGCAATTCTTGACCAAGCTAAGAAGTCAAAGATTAAGGATATGTTTAAATAAATTTCTCTAAAAGTACTTCTAATTCTAAGAGAAGAAAATAAGAATGAAAAATGAAAGAAGGCACTACAAGTGCTTTTAGAGATGTTTATCTAATCAAACACTAGATCTTGCCTAATGTATAAAAACTGTAATATATGAATGAAATTTCAAATTTCCCGCATTTTATCTCTCGAGACTGTAAAAGAAGTCATTAAATTCTCTAGACTGGAATTTAGACCTCACATTCTATGAACAACATTTTTAACTCCTTGAATTTTTTATGTATAAACAATCACCTTTAGGAGCTCAGAGGGGCGAAAGCCTCCAATCCACAGGAAAAATCTTTCAGCTGTTGTTTTCCACATACCGGACATGACATAGAAAACATCTGCTTTTGCAGCAGCAGATTTCATGCGAAAGATTTCAGCATAGTGGCTCATCATACCATCTACCAGAATCCTGAGCTCCATGTCACCGATATGAGCATTTAAAGCACTTCTCAGTTCCGTGATTTGTCTATTTTGCTCGTTCACCCAGTGTCCATACTCCGTCTCAAAGGTTGTAATTCCTGCAAATAAGGATTTCTTAGAACGCAAGAACTAATTGCAAAATAGAGTATAACTCAAAAAGAAAAGATACTCATGGAAAAAAAAAAAGAGTAATATTACATCAACCAAAACAAACTGTGCTAAGCTTACATGGTACCATGAAAATTTCTAAAAAATTCAAGAGTTGCAATGCCAATAAGATTCCCGAAAGTGGTCTCTGGGGCTAATCTAAGACAATTTCAATATGCATTATGGTACAATTTTTTTTCTCAACTTACCAACAATTCAAGGTTATGGTCTTGTACAACATCCAAGCAATGTAAGAAGATAAACAAAAATAATTTTAATCTATAAGACCTATATTTAGTTTGGCAACAAGTATCATACAAGATAAATATGAATAATTCTCCAACTGGCATATACCAAGGCTTTAAACTTTCTTCCACTTTCTGGATATTTGGAAGAAAAATTAGGAATTAGATTTACAAAACTGATTATGATTTGAAACCCAAAAAGTTGCCATGGTACCAAGAGAAAATGTCTCCGACTATTTTAGAGATGGCAGACACTAAAACAAGATTTTTTAGTCTTTAGATACCACTTAGTAAGAGAATGAAGTACATTTGGAAAAACTGATTTCACCACAGAAGAAAATTTTAAAAAGTGAGAACATTAGGTTATCAAGACATGGACTAACAAGAAACAGAAAAACTCAAGTGCAATACAAATAAATACATAGCGGCAGTAGCATAATAACAAACCAACCTGAATTTACAGATCCAGCAAAACCCAGATGATTAGAATCCAACCCACCACCTATATACATTCCCTGCAGTTTTGTTGCCTCAAGATATTAAAGAGATAGGGAAAGGAAGGAAGATGGTGATCAACATAATGTGATCCACAAGAGAAACTACAAATATATTAACTCATCTTCCCCACACCTGCTGTCTTGCACGTTCAAGCTCTTGCTCCAACTGCATCAACTTCAAGCGACTTGATTCTAACTGCTGCACATAGGCCTGTATGGCAATATCAGAAACCACATTAACATAAGCATACTTAAACACTTATTGCACATCTGACAATCAATCAATGTATAAACATTCAAACCTTTTTCCTCAACCGGCTCTTACGCGCAGCCTCTCGATTTTGTGCAAGACGTCTTTGTATCTGCATCTTTGATCATATTAGATTCCAATTTTCTACCTCCATAAATAGACATAGAAAAGAGTATGGATCCAAGCCAGACATCCAAATCGAATAGAGATTCCTCAAATTCCAAAATGGCAGGACTAACATACTTTTCATTGTCATTTGTCACACTAATTGTATACATAAAGCTTAAGATGGAGGGCAAAGAAAAGTGAAAAGATTGTCATTTGTCATGCCAAAACATTCCCAATAATAACTCTGTCCATAATTCCAAATGGCTTCAATACCACCCTACAGAATAAGCCTTTAATTTTCAAATGAAAACATTTGGTGCTAAACTAATTTTCCAACAAAAGAAATTTGACATTACAATAACCCAAAATATCTACATCTGCATTTGCAGGCAATTTGAGCTGACTATTCAGTTCCAGGAAATATTCAAGAGTTCCCAAGTAGATATAGTTTAAATTAACAAAATAGTACTCGGAATTAAGAAATAACCCTTTTTTCTTTTCTGTTGTTAGGGAAAGAGATAGGGAAAGGCGCAACTAGTTTGCATAACATGCTCTTACCTTATCTGTAGGTTTGTTAGCTTCTTGGTCATACTTATTAGGTTCTCCCAGTATACCATGAGAAGCATCCTCTGACTAGGTATTAAACAGCACAAACGAATTTGGTTAGTTGGCAGAATAGGCCTTCTTATCTGGCAATGAAACAAAGCACAGATTTCGTAGACTTGCACCTGACTATCTAACTTCATGTCTGGTTCATCAATTAATGGCACCGATGCACTTAAATTACCATTACTTTTGAACCCTTCACCCCACATGCTAATCTGGTGGATAGGATCGTACACACTCATCCTTCTCGAGGAAACAAACTGCGGCGTTGGTGAATTCATGCTCTTAGGACTGACCAATGCTGCAAACTGCTGTCAAACCTCTACAGCAAACTGCTGTCAAGCAAAAAATAAAAACCAAATGCATCAATATTCAATCAATATTATAATCCAAACACATTCACTTCAAAATTTGATAGCAGAAACCATTAGCAAGGAAAAAGAGAAGACAACATAAGAATCAATAGGACCATTTATATCTAAGATATCCTCCATTGGAGGCAGAGTCCTGCTCGAGCCAGGTAGGATCACTATAAACAGTAAAACTCTTCATCCGAGTATTTAACATAATTACATACTGAGAATTGGAACTCAATACTATTCATTTTGGTACTTTCGCAATTCTGCATCATAGCAGTAGCAAGAAGCCAAAAAAGATTCAAAAGGGTTGCTGAGCACCAAGTTCTGGGATCATGTAATTGTTACTGTTTCAACTTTTGTGATACCGGAAGAAGTACTATGAGAGACACGAAGAGTAAAATTCCTTAATTAATAGCCAACATCCAACGACAAACAAACAGATAACCTTAAATCTCAAGAAAAACCAGACCTCACAAGCTAAAGAGAAGCACAAAGAAACGCATAATTCACTTTGATTAAACCATGTTTTAGTTTCTTCCTCCACCTCGGCCACGTTTGTACGAGACAACGCTTATGAAACAGAATCTATAGTACGATTTCTTCATCCAATATGGCAACAAATCAACTCATCATTTTTCGCATACACGGGAACACAAAACCAAATCCTACATAGCCCCCCTTTTTCCTTTTTCCTTTTTCCAAAGACAAGAAAAAAGTTTTAACAACCACAAGAAGAAAGTACCAGTAATCATAGCAGTTTAAAACAAAGATAAGGGCATCTATCTATCTAACTAAGTATCTATCCATTGATGTCATAATATTTAGTTGGCAAAGTACAACAAAGTTTGATCTGTACCAATTTCCTTCCACGACAGTTACAGAATTATCCATAGAAACTGAAAAACAAAAGGGTAATAATGATAAAAATTAAAAAGCCAAACCTTATTATAAAGCCACTTTGAGAAAAGAAAAAAAACGTTATATATGTTATGAGTTATAGTATTTTCCCGCTCATGCCAACATGGCTTAGCAGAAGCTGAGAAGAACGCAAGAAAGAGCCTTCCATTCCATCATTGCGTTGCTTCAGAAGACGACGCTTTCAAAGACAGCCTCTAGCTTCAATTTTTATTATATAATAAAAAAAATTGGAAACGTAGCCCACCATTTTTAAATGGGATACATTATTATTATTATTATTTACGAATATAGAAATATAAAAAAAATGTAGAGGAGACTTTTGTGTCTTTTTATTGGAGAGTGGAACTTGTTTTTTTGTGGTTAATTGCTTGGTTGTGTTGAGCTACAGAGAGTCAAATATATTTCAGAAGCCAAGTGTCACAGTCATCGTCATGTTTCCACTATCGCTAATGTGCGCACCAGGTAGACCACGACTCTCTTCCCTACCGGAATATATCATCGCCGGCACTGCTAGCTACATTATATTATGTTATATAAATACTAATCATAAATATTATGTACCATATAGTTCTTACTTATGTTTAAGTTTTTATAATTGGTGTCATGATCCACGAAATTACCCTTGGTCGAATGATAACTTAAGTAGAATGCGGCCACTAACACGGCACCAACAATATTACAAAGTCAAGAAATTATGAGTTTTATATGATTAATTGAGGTGGTGTGGAGTGTTTGGAGTAGAAGAGGACGTCACACCTTCACACGAGATTCCACGAAACCTAATCATTTCGATTTTTTTTTTCCATGTCTTACATTACATTGCTTTTCATGCTCTATAAATAAACTAGTGTAAAGTTGTTTCAACTTATTTAATAGTATTGAGTTAGTCTTAAATAAACAACTACAACATTGAATACTTGAAAAATGAATTTTATTGCTTATAATAGTCTTATCCCCTTCAAACATGATTATTTTCAAGTTGTCTTAATAAACATTTGTGTTAAATAATCCAAAGACAAACTTTGTGACTCATAATTATGTTATTGGATTCTAACATGTTATCTTCCGTGAAAGTGATATAAAAAGAAAAGAAAAATGAAGAGTGTTATGATCCTTTAGAATTAGCAGATACTTACGTCTCTATGTTAGATAGACATTTGATAGGCTAAGGAATTGGAATAATGGAGACTTTGGAAATGGTGATAACTTGTATTAGTTGATTCGATGCATCGTACTCCACTTTTCTAACCATTGACCTGACCTCCACGATAAATATACCAAAAGCATTTGTGCCTAATAAATCAAAGCATCTAAAGCAACTAACCAAGTATCTAACGAGATTAATTAAATGGTGCGCATCCTAATTAAGCATAATTTTTAATGGGTATTGAATATCTTTCTAATCTTCAAATTTAAAAGTTTTTAAAAGTGATTGGTTTGGTTCCCTAATTTATAGTAAATGACTCTTTTTTAGTCCTTGTCAAGGACTTAAAATAATCACACGATAGGATTAATATTAGGTTATTTCTAAATTAAGAGACTAAAAGCATTACTTTTAAATTTGAGGGATAAAATATTATTTAAACCTATCGAATGTACATTGAACTCCCAGACAAATTCTGTATTGAATATTTTGAACGTTTATGCTTATAACTATCTTAACATATCTGTTTTTATACTTTCAGTAATTAAAATAGAAAATAATAAATAATAATTTGTCAAATCATTGATAAATACAACTACTAAGCGCTATACAATATTGTTCTAGTTAATTTATCTAACTTAAAAGAAAAAAATTCGTCATATAAAATAATTTTATTCAATTCAAATAAGATCATCTTCCATAATAATTACCTATATGCTGTATTAAAAACAATTATTTGTAAATGTCGTTATAAATTTTGTATACTTCCTATTTGTATTAATTAGGAATATGTTGGGTAAGTATCTATATTTTTTTCTTTCTAAATCACATGTATTTTTGCAAAAGATAATGTTCGAGTCTAAGCATCCATATGAATATCTTATTTAAGAAAAATATTTTATCAAATTTATATTTATCATAAAGCAATTTTTAATATTTATACCTAGGATCGGATCCATGTAGATAAACTTTTTAAGAAATATTTATAGAAAAATAAAATTAGTCTCTCCATAAACTAAATTTAACTAGCTTATACAAAAGTTAATTTTTAAAAAATATCTCATATTAATTTTATTAATAACTTTTATTTTAACTTATACTTAACGAATATGAAAAAAATAATTTTATTTTTATTTTCTATTTTCTCCTTCTACAAGTGTTTCAAAATAAGTCATCTAATTAACACGCCCTAATATTCAATGGATGTATAACCAATCTATCATTTTTAATATCAATGTTTAATATTCTGATCTGTTCTACCATGTAAAAAAAAAAAACACAAATAAAGAGTTCAATATGTATGTGCCAAAACCTATTATCCCCTTAATATATAAATTAGAATGGTTATCTTGATCACTTAAACAGCAGTATTTTTAGTAATTTTTTAACCTTTTATTTCTTTTATTCAATCATTTTATTTTTAAATTAAATTTTAATATTTTTAAGAGTATATAATTGAAAATAATTTTTGATTATTATATAAAATATTTATCATAAATCTAAAATATAATTTATATATCAGAAGTAATTATTTATTATAAAATTTTATCATATATTGTATAGGTTCAAATACTAAATAGTATTTTATTCATTAAATTTATTTTCCTTTTTACGTAGTGTCTTTTTTTTATATAAATTATTGAAATAAAATTGTTTTTTAACATAGTAAAAAATAAAAAGTGTACAATGTTTTATTTAATTTTTAAAAATATCTAAAATATTTTTAAACTCTAATTATAAAATATAATAAATAGTTGATTATATTTATCATATATCTATAGGTGCTAATATAGATGCTGGTGGATGAGAGAATGAGCAATATACTACAGTACCTATACCATTAACTAAAAACCTATGTATGGGTATAAAAACCTATTGCATATTGCGTATCCATTAAATATAAATGTGCAATATAACGAGTTTTATTAGTAATTTGGTATAAAAACCTATTGCTTGTCCATTACGCTCAGGTCCAATTATCATTCTAATAGTAATTAAATTCATATTTATTAGTTAATACTTTACATTTTATAACTTCGCACGTAAATATACAAATTTTTAGTTATTTTTATACAATTAAACATATTATTATATTTAAATACTCGTATAGATTTACATGTAATGTAATGAGTTTATAAAGATAGTTGATGAAACGACTCGTGATGTTTACGATTAACGGTTTATTAACCAATAATAGAAATAAAATAAAACAATTACTTAAGGATAACATTAGACAATTATTAGATAGCACAACCGTTAATATATATATTTATATATTTACGACTAAACTTTCATATACATATGTTTAAAATTATACAGTAATCCATATAACTAGAAATGCAATCCTAGATATTGGTTAAACACATATACTATTAACTAGCTACTTTGGGTAACCCAAAATGTTAGCACTACCAATCTTAACATGGCCTCCAAAATAGTCCCAACTAAAACATATCCTTATTTTGCTTTCATATTAAGTATGATCATTGCAGTCCAATCACATAAAAACACATAATGATAAGTTATAGTTCAAAGAATCAACATAATTAGTATAGGAGTAAAACAATTATAAGTATAGTCTGTCAACTACCCTCCAAATACTATGTCCTTCCAATATTTGATTCGAGACTTTAATCTTCGAACTTGTACTTTACTCAAATTTTGATCATTTTATATACGTATGTTTTGATCTTGCCTATATACAGATCAACATTGGTCGCTTATAGTTAACATGCCTTGACCTTGCCCACATACTACATTAATTAAGATCCTAGAGGAAACTCAATTATCCACTTCAAGTGTCAACTTCTCAAGAAGGATTCAAAAAATTGGATTCTCGAAATACCACAACACAACATACCCACAATGGGATATGCAACTTAAAAAACAACTTCTCCTCTAATTCTAGGTCGATCAACACAATACAACTTTAATGCCAAAACATTTTCAACACAACTACTCAACAATAACATACAACTTAGCTCAACTTTCAACCATTCAACTATATATGCAACACATAAATCAACTCATCTCAAAAACATTAACTCTACACTACCCTAGATCAATATATAGGGGTTCAACATCATACATTAGAATACAACATATAGTACTACTTATTCATAAAACAAGTTAAAGTAATACAACATGCGCCCACGCTATCCAACACGTGCTCAATGCATTAGAGGCAGGGACTAAGGACTCTTACAGTGTCGTTCAACCTGCGCCCAATGTGGATTAGGTGGAGAGCCTTGGGACTTAACGCTTGGTATGGCAAAATCCCATGCTCGGCGTCACTTCATTGGCGTCTAACGTGATTCTAACCTAAGAAGATTCTCTTTCTTCATGCTCAATTCCATTCAAACCACACTTGACATGACGTCAAAGACTTCTCCCTAACCTAAGCCTAGTGCCACCAATCTCGCGCTCGATGTGAATGAGGTAGAGAGCTTCTAACATGAGTCACACTCAACAACATGAAAGTGTGTCCGACATGATAGTGAAATTTGCACTTGCAAACTTACAAATTTGGCTCAATTCACCTAAAATCAACAAATCTCCAACATGTAATGGTAAAAATAATTCCTACACAACATATACTACTCTTTTTCAACCACAGAAACAATATGCAACACTGATTTGGTCTATTCATCAATTAATATCAACATACTTCATAAGAAACCAAAATCCTAATTCCAACATTGTAACCTACTCAAAATCAACACACAACTACGAAAATCATAGATTCAAAACAACATTTAAATCTTAAATCACTAAACAACTCAACCATTCAATCAAACACAAGAATCCAACTTCTCTTACCTCTTATTCAAGTTGAATTGGGGTAGAAGAAGGGGAAATGAGCTTTGTATGTCTCAACAACCTAGCTAGATGAACAACTCCAAGGATGTGAGCTAACACCCAACAACTGATCTCACTGGTTTGGGGAACCTAGAAGAAGAAAAAGAAGAAGAAGTTAGGATCTTAGAGTTTCTTTCTCTAGGATCCTTTCTCTAAGATTTTTGAAGAATGAAACTTATGAAGCTCCGTTCTAAATGGAAACCTTATATA